TCATACATGTATGTATTCAGACCGGCGTGGTGGCAGAGTGCCTGAGATGTCGGCTTCGAAGTCTGCAGGTGATGGGTTGGACTCTGTCGAATGACCGTCTTTATCTTAGCCACGAATTCCCTTCAGCGTTAGTTTACCTCACGTTACTTCAGACCGGGGTTGCTAAGTCAGCTGAGCGTGGGACTTACAACCGCGAGGTCACTAGTTTTACCCTCTGTCGGAATCACGTCTTTGTTCCTAAAAGTTGATAAACTTGTACCTCCCTTGTTAAGAAAACAGGCGACGGCACAATCTGCTGTCGACTCAGCCTTTAAGATGCGGCAGCGTAGGCTGATGGCATGGAACTAGAGTCAGCGCCCCACCATTAATTCATGAAAATAAGGATGCCAGGCGTGGTCACATCGTAAAAGTATCATATAGACTCTCATTCGACCTGTTACAGACTTTCTTTGCCTTTTTGCTCTTATCATCGGTGGAACCTTGATTCGCATCATACTTAGAACCCGATAATAACCTGCCAGACTTAGACTAACGTCACTTCTTGGATTCACTTGTTTCTCAAGGCGACCACTTCGACAGCGCCATCGAGAAGACGGGTCTTTGTGTGAAACGGGCTGTTCAATACGAAACACTGTACCGAAGTTTTCGGTCTTGTGGCACGATCGAATAGGCAATAGGGCCTTCATAGTTTGATGTTGCTGATGGCGGGGGAGCTTGTTTGTATATTAAAATTTTTATCACGTAAAATAATGCATATCAAGGAATATGCCAGTCTTTTTTCAAATTAATTTTTATATTAATCAGTTTCTGTAACCGTGAAAATATTGGTAAACGTTTGGCATTGGTGTATAATTGTTATTATCAGTATAAAATGAGGGATAGACGTGGTTTTTACTGCATTTGATTTTTTAGATGCATTTGAGGATGCTCGATTTTTATGTGAGCAGAGTTACCTAACATCACCGAACTTAAAGATTCACCAAATTAATAGTAATTTGCTATCGTTTCAGATTTATTTGCTATAACCGTACAGTACGTCGTTTAGCGATATCTCCGGGCGAGAGCATTTCCATGGCTTATGTGCCTTCGCACTTGTATCATATAATGTTTGAACTGTTCAAGGTACGTTCCGGTCATATCCGTGTCAGGCTTTTTAAACCCTGGTGCTCAAACTGACAGTAGAGTTGATCGTAATAGTATTTTACTGATATTGATAGTATGTTAGACAAGTTAGATTCTTTAACTATTTTCTTTGGTTCGACTGTTTTTAAGTCCTTTCATGTGTTAGTCTGCAGTTTCTTGCTTAGAGCTTTTTACTCATTTATCAGACCCATTTCAGTTGTTGCTTTTGCTGAGTGGTTGTAACTTGTTGTAACTTTTTGTCGTTGCAGAATGCTATGCGAGCTGTGATTGAGTTCCACGGCTCACACAACAGCGAACACGATTTACCCCCAATTCAGGTGCTGATCGTGAAAAGCCATGAAGATTTATCTCTGAAGGCAAGTCGTTTTTTTGTTCCTTAATATTGTGCTAAAGCATATGCCATAAATGGTTAAGAAACGTGTTTAAGCCTTAAGCTCAGTACAGGAGTACGGTAGCTGATCATAGACCGTAAAGCTATTTTACGTCATAATAATGAGATGGACATATTAAATGGAAGATTTTGTTCGTCCATTGGTCGTTCTTTCGAAATACAGCACAAAATAGTCGATTGCTTCGTATTGGTAATGTTTATGTTGTTGCAATCCAGGCTGGTCACGTGGTTTTTTTTTTTATCACATTACCGCTTTAGCCTCGGCGTAAACTTAAACATGCAAGAGGAGGGTAAGTTCAGTAATAATCCTGCAAAATCTACATATTTTTATGCTAAACTGAACCGCAGATCCGTACGTAATTTTGAATATGGAAATTCTGTAGACTGGATTTTCTGCTATTACACAATTACGGGCATTGTCACCTAAACGAAAGAATCAGTACTGCTTGCCAAGGGATCAAAGACCGGCCTGTCATGTTGGGCGTAGATGGTCACTGACGAATGCGAGTATCCCTTCAAACGCCGTATTTAGAAA